TGTGTGTGTGTGTGAGTCTTTGGTTTGATTCTGACCTGTTTTTCCTGTCAGAGCTGCAGAGGCGGGAGGAGGAGGAGAACAGGGCCATGGAGAAGGAGGAGACGCTGCCTCTGGTGGAAGAGCTGAAGAAGGAGATCCAGAAACTGCAGGAGAGGAGACAGGAGGAGGAGGATGGGGGGGGCAAGAGGATGAAGAGTGGGGAGTGTGAGGCAGTGATGAAGCAGAGAGACACTCAGGTAAGTCAGTCTCAAAAAGTACAAGAGAAGAAGAAATGCTGACGGGTTTTCACGAAGGAGCGTTCTGCTTTATGTTTTTACTTTTCTTTCAGGACCTTCGAGCCTCTCCTCTTAGGTCCAACATGGCCGCCAGGAAGAAAACTCCCAGAACCACGGGGAGGAAGAGGAAGAGCTGCGAGCTGGAGGTAGGGCGGAGCCTATTTAAGCCTATCGCTGTGGTTGTGTGAATAATTAAGATTTTAACCCGTCACTGCATCCCGGGTTAAAATCACCACGTGTTAGACTTTTATCGTCTTCTGAAGCGCCGCCTCATCTCGCCTCACTGTGCCAGACTGGCAGATTCTCGCCGCCAGCAGCCTTCTCAGCACGGAGGAGTCTAAGGTCGCCGGTATACTCAGTCTACCCGTTATACAGCAGGAGGCCGCCGCAGTATTCTCCTGAACGACAGGTGCCGCCACCAGCATCACCTCGACAAGCTGACGCTCCGTTCTTCTTCTTTCCTTTCGTATAAATCTGTCTGCAGCGCTGAAAATCACCAGAGGGTGGAGCCGCCTCCCAGAGTGTGTTTGTTTGTGTGTGTCTCAGGCGCTCTGACATGTGTGTGCTGTTGTGTTTCAGGTTTTGGTGCACAGTGAAAACAAGAGGAACAAACCGAGGGGAAACGCCCGTTGCGTTCAGGTGAGCCGTCCCAGCCGACAGGTAGATGAACTCACGCGTCCTCAGAGCCCTCACCTGAAACCTCCTTCTTCTTCTGTGGTGCAGGAGAGAGGATGCGCTCTGCAGAAGATTGAAGAGGCGATCCACACCTCACCGTGCGTCCTGGGCAGCAAAGGTCAGCCACACCTCGACCACCCAGCGCCAGCAGGGGGCAGCGCTGGGCTGCCACCGTGTCTGATTTTATGTTACAACAGAAAGTTTAGCTGAAGTGTTTCTAACAGGCTCGTCAGGCCCTGCGGCTCCAGAGCGAACTCACCGTCCCGTCCTCTCTGCAGATAAAAACATAAGCTCGGTGGAGAAGGAGGCGGTAACCGTGGCAACCAAACCCCGGCGAGGCCGCAGGAAGCTTTACAATATGGACCCGTGGGCGCCGATGGTGGACTCGCCACACACGGTGAGACGGAGTCTGACTCTGAGGCGTGAAGCAGAGTCGGCTGTTTGTTTCTAAATATGAATGCGTCTTTGTTTGTCCCGTCAGACGCCCGGAGCAGCGGCGGAGGATCGGGAGAGCGACCACAGCATCATGAAGAGGAAGCTACGCTCTCAAACCTGCAGGAAGTGACATCATGATTGATCTTTAATGTGCGGCGTTCTTCGTCTGTCATCAGTTTGTTTGTTTTTAATGTTTGGACCTTTAAAAAAACAGAAACCCACCAGTTCACCTTTGTGAGGCTTTAAATTTAAGGTGGAATTGTTTAAGGTGGATCTCTGTGACTGCTGTGATGTAAATAAAGGTGAGCTGAATCATGTCCAGGTGAAGCTTCTTTCAGCCGCACTCACGTGAGGTCGTCGACATAAAGACAAAGTAAATGTCTCGGTGAGCGGTGTTCGGTCCGTCCCTGCAGCGGGCGGAGGCCGGGGCGCCTCCTCGGTACGTTTGTGCTCGAGCTCCGAGTCTGTCTGCAGTGACTCAAAGGGATTCATGCTGTACATAAAGTTTTACTGTAGCTTCCTCAGTGTGACTTCACTTCCTGTCTGGTGCTGAAATGTGGAGATGTCACATGAGCGTTCAGACTCAGTGTTTGAGGGAGTACCTGAGGCGGCTGTAGCTCAGGAGACGGAGCCGAAGGTTGGGAGTTGGATCCCTGCTCCAGTCTGTCCCTGGGCAACACGCTGACCTCTGAGTCGCTGCTGACGTGTTCACGCTGACGTGTTCATGCTGACGTGTCGGGGTGGGCGTGTCAGATAAAGTGGCTTCAGAGGTCTTACCTGAGCCACCTTCAATGACATAACCTCTGCTGGCAGCGAGGACTCGAGGTGAGCCGCAGAATCAGGATGAAGCTGCCGATTCCTCAGCTCAAGCTCTGACACCAGCAGCTTCTCCTTGCGCTGGCTGACCTGCTGGGTGCAGGAGGGCGGAGCAAAGTTGTCCTCGCTGTTTATTTCAGGGTTAAGCTAACGTGAGCTGGACGACCGCAGAGCTCCAGCTGATCCATGAAGAAAACGCAGGAGGCACAAACTGAGGCAAAGCTTTTATTTTCCTGTAACACGTTACAAACATCAGCATCACTCTGACTGTGACATCAGCAGTGACATCACGCTCTCCACTAATCAGCAGCGTTTTCAGCCCCGCTGCTCACACGCTGACATCTACCAGTACCTGTCTCAGGTACAGGTAACCTGAGTTACACCTGAAGATGATTCTGGTCCATTCACACTCTCTCACACATAATGAGGCAGCTCAGACAGGAAGCTGTGAGTTTCTTCAACATTAAAACAAAATCATTCGTTTTCATTTTCAGCAGACTAAAAAGATTTCACTTCCTGTGAAGTCATCGTTTGATTGACAGCCTGTTTAGCCGTCTGCTTGGTTTTGGTGTCGAGGAATCTGATTGGTACTTTTCTCGTAGGCTGCGTTCACGCTGCAGGCGAAAGCATCAAATCTGACTTTTGTGACCCTGTGCGACCCATCTATCCGATCACGGTGTGACAGTGTGAACGGCACAAATCTGATATCTTCAAATCCGATCTGGGTCACTTTCGTACGTGGTCCTGAGTCCGACACATATCTGATGTTTTAGAAAGCTGCTGTTTGATGGTCACATCGCATTAAATCCGTCTTTTACGTCACTGACACAAGACAGACGCCGATTATCAGCGCCGGAGAAGACATGGCGAACGCTTCCTGGCCATCCAGTGAAACTGCTGGGAAGACAATGTTGGAGAGACAACAGCAATAAGGATCATTGTTTGGCCAAATGTAAATAACAAAACAACTTTACAACTTAAAGGAAAATTGGGAAACGTAAGGTCGGAAACAAGTCTTTACATTAAGGCCATCAGTCACACATACTGTTTGGTCTGGGTGTAAACTGAGCGCGTTGTGTGTGGCGTCTTCTTGTGCGCACGCGGCCGCTCTGAGCGTTCACACTAGAGCGCGTTTGCTGTCGCATTTTATTTGCAGTGTGAACGAGCAGACAAAACAATCAGATTTGATCAAAAAATCTGAACTGAGCATCAAGACCTGCAGAGCGAACGCAGCCTGAGGGCTGTGAGGTAACACCTTCCTGTTGAAGGTGACGAAACCACCTGATTGGTCAGACAGGCTGAGGTGGAGGGGCTCGGGTTCCCTGATCACGGTTTTCAGAAGATTGCAGCAGCACCGAATCTGATCGATGGCGGCAATGGCGAATTCCAGTGACGGCGGAAAGAATGACCGCGCTGGCCAGCAGAGCGGCGCCGCTGAGGAGGAAAGTGGCTGTGTAACTTCCTGTAACATCAACCAGCCAGCCTGCAGACAGAGAAGAAGAGTTTCAGGTGTGACATCATCAGCAGGCGATGTCAGAGTGATGTCATCAGATTTCAAATATCCAATGACGTTTGTGAGGACAATTAGACGCACGGTCTTTAAACACATATTTAAAATTTAAGTGGATTTAAAGTTTTTTCTCTTTTAAAGATGGATGAAGCAGGAGGGTGGAGCTGTTTCCCTCACCTCCAATGGGCGGGCTGACCAGGTAAGGTATGGCGTGGAGGAAGTAGACAACGCCCAGAGCTGAGGACAGATACGTAGTTCCGACCACATCAGACGTCACCACTGGGATCAGAGCCACGTAGGCGCCGTCGAAGTAGCCGTAGAGCACGGCAAAGGGCACGAGGAGCGGGAACGAACAAAGTAATGGCGTGAAGAGGCAGCAGAGACCCTCCATCCCCACCGAGAAGACGTAACAGGCCAGGCGGTGCGGCTTCAAACACCTGAGAGACAAACAGGACGCCCGACGGCATCAGCACTCAAATGTCAGCCATGTTTGTGTGAACTGTCCCTTTAAAAAGAAAGCGTTCTGCTGCAAAGTCAAGTGGGCGTCTCCATCGCTGTCACCTGCAAACATCGTGACGCTCGCTGTGATGCTGAAGTCACGCCTGCACGAGCTCGAAGGCGCCGAGCAGCACCAATAAAGGTCAAAATCCTAAACACAGAGCGACACGCCGGACGTGTGCTTTGAATTCTCGCAAACGTATCAAAGATGAAGTAAAATCGAACATGGAGGAGACGACTCGCAGCTTGGGTCAGGTAAATGGACTGATTCTCATTTAACACTTTTCTACTCACGCGGAGTACTCGGAGCGCTCAGTCACCCAATCACTGCCATTCACACAAGCACTTTCCAACTACATCCACACTCCGAGAGCAACCTGGGTTCAGTATCTTGCCCAAGAATACTTGGCATGCCAGGGATCCAGGGAGGAGCCAGGGATCGAACCGCCGACCTTCTGATCGGTGACCTGCTCTACCTCCTGAGCTACAGGAACCCCAAAGCACCTAGTTGAAGCACCTTTGGCACCAGGACAATGACCTGGTGGAGGATGAACCTTCACCCTAGTCTGAGGTCCAGAGCAGTGGAAGCAGGAAGCACCTGCGCTGAGCCCTGAGAGTCACAGGAAGGCTAATAAACGTGCTCGCGCTCGCTGTGGGTGTCGAATGTTCCCCTCTGGAACGAGGCTGTAACGTGTGGAACAGGCCAGTGTCAGTGTTCGTCCTCGCGCACACTCGCCTTACCTTCTGTCCGTCAGCCAGCCGAAGGTGATGTTCCCCACGATGTCGATGACCCCCAGGATGGACATGAGGAAGGCGGCGTGCTGGTGGCTGATGCCGGCACTCAGGGCGTAGGGCACCAGGTAAACGAAGGGGAGGCTGCAGCCGCTGGCCAGAAACAGGAAGGACACGGCCAGACCCAGAAAGTCAGGCAGCAGCAGGAAGCGGTACTCCCCACAGGACAGGAGGCGCCACATCCTCCTCCGCCTGGGGGCGGAGCTTTCAGGTGGAGGAGGCGGAGCTAGGAGGTCCACAGAGTCTTTGGGAGGTTTCTCCACGTCCTGCTGTGAGATGTCACCTGCACCAGAACGCACAGGTGAGTCTGATTCTGATTGGCCCGCTGAGGGAACATGTGATTGATGAGAACACCTACCACACTGCTCCTCCTGCAGTGCTATTGGTCGGAGCAGCGCTCCACAGACGCACAGGTTTGCAACGAAGGCGCTGAGGACGAGCAGTGCCCCCCTCCACGAGTACAACTCGATGAGCATCTGCACCACCGGAGCCAGCACGAAGGTCCCGATCCCGCTGCCCGACATGGCGACACCGTACGCCAGCGCCTTCCTCCGCTGGAAGTAACAGCCCACCAGGGCGATGGCGGGGGTGTAGCAGAGGGCGAAGCCCAGACCTGCGGACAGATTTTACGTGTCAGCATGATAAAGAGCACGCCGCTGTAAGATGGGGAGGACATGTCTGAGTCTGACCTGTCAGGATCCCGGCGCTGAAGTAAAGCATCTCCAGGCTGGTGGCGAAGGAGCTGAGCAGGAGGCCGCAGGAGGCCAGAAGGCCCCCCGCCACCACCGCCGCCCGGCCGGAGCAGCGCCTCCCCACCAGGCTGCCGACGGGAGCTGCACATACAGACACGCTCAGCCTCACGTGACCACAAGAACCACTCGGTGATGTCTGATTGGCGGTACTCACCACACAGCATGGTGCTGCAGTCCAGCAGGCTGTGGATCCAGGCGGTGGCGGCGTAGTCGGCCCCGAAGTGAGCCTGGAACTCCACGAAGAAGATGGAGACACACCTGCAGACACAAGAGAGGGTTAACACTGCCCCCACCTTTGACGCTCGGCTGCAAAGACACACCATGACTGTCCCTGAAGAAAGTTTCAGTGCACTACAGTACCCATCATTCTTTGCTGCTGCTCAGATTTAAATAGAATTTCTTCATCTTTTGCAGTCAGCTGACTTTGTAAGTAAGTTTATTTATTAAGCACTTTTCACAGACAGGCAGTCACAAAGCGCTGCACACAAAGATTTGTAGCTCACTGATTGGATGTTTGTTGCTTAAATGCATCTTGGGAATTGTAGTTCTCCCCCCAAAACAGACTGTACATGAAGATGGACGTAAAGTTAAGTCTTCAACGTGCATTCTCCCTAATGCTGATTAGAGTCAGAACAGGAAGTAGGGAGGGTTTAAGGCGGCACTTCCTGTAAACAAAGCATAGTCAGGGCAGGCGTGTGTGTGTGTTATGTAACGTGTGCCAGTCACACGTAACTTCAGGATTAATGTGTTGTTGTATAACTGCAGTGAGAAACATGGGGGACGGGTCTGTTCTCTCGCCTCACTGTGAGGACATAACACACGCACAGACGCACAAACACACTCTTTCACAGCCAGCTGATGGAGGGGAGGCGGAGCTTTGAACACATGTTTCTGAGAAGTTTTCCAGCTGCAGCAGCAGTCGCGCCGGTCTCCGGTCGGAGCAGAAAAT